AAAAAAAAAAAAAAGAGAGAGAGAGAGGGAGTTTGCCTTTCTCTGCCCCTCTCCCCTTCCTCCTTTGTCTGAGGGGCTGCGATTTTCCCAAGGCGCACCGTGGAGGCTGAGACCCTGTTGGACTTGCAGAAACAGTACGTCACAATGAACAGGTGTCTTCCCCCTTCTCTTTCTCTGGGAACCAAGCAGGGTCACCGTTCTCAGAGACGACGGATCACGTACATGTACCCCCCAAACCGGTAAGGCAGTGGTCTCTGAAGACGCAGAGGCTCTTGGAGCAGTCACAGGACCTCCCCCGCGCCAGCACCTTGCACACTCACGCAGCCCTTCACGGCCTACAAAGCACGCTCCTGCATGTGCGTGTACACACACACACACACACACACACACACACACACACACGCACCTCATGGAGGGGCGGTGGGAGACTGCATTAGTCTCTCTCTCCGCCCCTGCCTGGCTCTCCGCTTCTGCCTGAGTCCATGCCCTTTGCCTCGTGTCTCTGCAGTTCCTGCCCCCTGGATGCAGAACACAGTTCCTCTGTCCTTGACTGTGAGTGGCTGTGGGCCCTGCTCCGGCCCATATAAGGATGTGGAAATTCCCCAGCCAGCCCTTCTGAGGCCTTGCATGGCCTTGCTTGTCCTGCTGGGCGCCCCCCATCATCATGAACACACCTGGGCTCCCCGTTCATCCCAGCAAGAGGATGAGGGACGCACGGAACATAACGGAGCCACCCTGGGTCTCTGATCCCCAGCTGAACTGCTGCCCCACGGAAAGAAATAATTGCTGTTGCAAGTGACCGAGTTAGGGGAGTTTGTTAGTACTGCTGTGGCCATCACTAACTGGCACGGTAGTCACTGTGTTACTATCCCCATTTTACAGGTCAGGAAACTGAGGGCCCGAGAGAGGAAGGCACTCACCTATGCTCACAGGTGGGAAGTGCCGGAGCTGGGACTCGACATCAGGAGGCTCCGACCCCAAGGCCAGCCTCTGGGATAAAGACCCACAATGCTGAGAGCAGCTCCCGACTGCAGCACCTGGATGGCCGACAGGGCCTGACGCAGGGCCCACAGCAAGGGCGACAGGCATTAGCCACAGGGTCTGCGCTCCATTTGAGAGGACTGCTGCTTTTCACGTCGAGATTGGAGCAGGAGATGCTGCGGAGCCCCATTCATACCTGGGCGCCTGCCTGCTGGTCTCAGAGGGCTCCTGCAGAGGGCCCGGCTCCCCGGCTTTGCCTCGGGGGCACTCTGCTCCCGGGCGGCAGGCTGCACGGTTTGGGAGTTAGCGTTCGGGACAGACAGGAGTTGGCGGGCCTGCAGCCGGGCTTCCTCGCCCTCACAGGGAGGTGATTCTGAGACGCGTCTGCCAGGCTTTCAGAGGATGCCCAGGGTCCCGAGCCCTGGCTGCCCCAAGCCCCAATCCCTGCCCCCTGCCCTGTGCGACATCCTCTCTCCCTTCGTTTCCCTCTCTTCCCTGTTTCACTTCCCCATAAGTGAACTCCCCAATAAACTCCTGGTCTCAGGGTCAACTTCTCCAGGAATCCAAATCAGGACAAGAAGATGCCCGTCTGAGCCCAAGCCCCGGGCAAAGCTTACCTGCCGAGTCTTCACACATTTCTCCTGTGACAGGGCCTGCCTCAGATCACTCTCCTGACCCCCCCATGCGGCCCCTCAGCACAATACCCCGGAGGGCTCTGAAGAACAGGTCTGCCTCGTGGCCCCAGGGGGACGTCCCAGCGGCAGGGCAAGAGGTGTGGCTGGGAGTGCAGGGCCAGGCAAGGATCGGGGGCGGCACACTGGCCCCTTTGTGTTAGCAAGCGCACAGTCCCGCGGGGCCCAGCCCAGCTTCCAGTGCAGGGCAGGGGTGTGTGTCGGGGGGCAAGGTGTGCGAAGCTAAGGTAAGGAAGCCGTGAGGTGGCCGACGGGCAAACGCCCTACGCTGGGCGGGCTATGTGCTTCCCTTGGGGTTTTTCAGTAGGGTCAGCCTGAGAGGACGTGCTCGCAGAGTCAGCGGTATCTCTAAGACCCATGTCCCACTCCTGGGGAATCCCCTAAGAATGAAGCTACCAGAAAGAAGCAGGAAAGCACCATGGTGTTCAGGTCCCCTCATCCTCTCTGCGGCCTGGCCCCTCACACATCCCAGGCCCCAGACAAGACACGGGCACTGGGAGAGGCAGGTCCAAGGAGCTGAGCGGGTGCAGGGCAGAGTGGGCCCCGCGGCATCCACCTGGGCTGAGCAGTTGGTGTCAGCATTCCGGGGACCCCTCCTCCGGCTGCCTTTCTCCCAGTTTGAGCATGCACGGGCTGGAGCCCTCGGTGGGGCTGAGCCCTTGCTGGGGGTTGGGAGTGGGGTGCCCCAGGCCTGCCATATCCCTGACCTCTCGGGTCCTCTGGTGTCGGGTCTTCATCACTAGCTGATCACTCTACCCTCAAGCCCTTCCAACCCCCAGTCCTCTAACTGAGCTAGAGGCAACACAGACTATTTCACCCGTGGCAGGTGGTTCAAGAAGTGAGGGAAATTGCTGGAAATCTGCAGGTGTTCCTTGGGTGGGGAGAGACACAAAGGAAATGAGGGTTAGCACCTGGGCACTCTGTGGCTGACAAAAGATTCTATACAAAAGGTAAGTGGGGCCAAAGCCTTCTGTGGAGACTTCCCAGAATTGAGCTGTCCAGCTAGGTAGCCATTTACGCGTCAGAGGCCTGTCTACTGCGGAAGGTGGGTGGGCAAGTTTGGCGGCTGTCTACCTGGGGCAGGAAGCTACAACTGGCCTGGAGGCTAGCAGGCCAAGCCCACAATGCCGGCCAGCCCAGATCCAGCTCCCTCGGGGTGCTGTCCCAAGATCCCGAGCCACCCACAGCTGACACGGAGGGCTGCCCACCAAGACAGGATGGCTTCCCAGCTTCTGAACCGTGCTGGAGATGAGTTTCTGCAGCATCTGAGCCTCCCCTGGGCCACAGGCCTGGAAAGCTGGCCCCGGGGCCTGGGTGATGGGTGCCCTAGGCAGGCAGTGACTCAGCCAGGGTGGGTGAGCAGGGCTGCTGCCTCCACCTGGGGCTAAAAACAGGCCTATGAATCAGGGGCCTACATGCTGACGCTGCTCCCGAGTGCCTGGGTGCCCTTGGGAGACCTCGGTCTTCCTCAGCTCTCCCTCCATGTGCCTGCTATCTGTCCTGTCTGTGGCCCGCGGCTGGTGAACCTGGCCAGAGCTTTCCCAACTTCCTCCTTTGGGCCTCACCTTCCTCGTTTCTGCCAGGTCTGTGAGAAGGGAGTTGGGAAGGGGGTGAGGGTGGGAGACACCCTCTGATCTGAGTGCCTTGGAGCCATACCGCGCCTCCCAGCCAGGGGTGGTTTACAAACCACAGCCACTCTCACCTCCTTTGTTGGTCTCCCCACCCATGTCCCGGAATTCCGGCAGGATGACTACACAGCTTGGGGGAGGCTGGAAGAGCTCTCCTGCTGGGAATTCTCCAGGGGACAGCCCAGGGGCTGGAGCTGTCCTCCCAGCTTTCTCTCACCCCCAAGGTGCAGCGGTGCTGGGGGTCCTGTGCCAGCAGCGACTCCCCCCCGCCCCCGCCTCCCCCAGCTGCCCTTGCTGTTCCTGTCCGGTCTCCCCCAGCCCAGCGTCTCACTAGCCCAGCTGCTCAGACGCAGACTAGGCGTCATCCTTGGTTCTGCTGCTTCCCTTCCATGTCTGGGGTCCTGCTGGATTTTCCGTCAAAGCTGTTTGCAGTCA